GCCATTAAACAGCTTGGAAGATCAAAGACAATTTTTAATATAACTCCGACTGGATTCGTCTGAAAGAAGAAAGTCATATACACCTAGGATGCCTTGAGGGTGAGTAATTCATGGGCTAATTTTCATTTTTGGGTGAACTAACCCTTTAAGAATGCTGAGAGTGAACAATATGGTGAAGAGGTTCTGGGAGTTGCTTAGTGTGAATAGTATCTAGCATACAGTACATGTTTTTGCTTTTGAAGCTTTACATGTCTAATTGTTTAGATGTCTGTTGTTTTGTACCATTAAACGGGTTTTGTTGTTGTTTTTTTTTTTCTCTTTCATTTTAGACCTGATGGTGCTGAAAGAGGAGAATCAAGAACTGAATGAAAAAGAAGATAAAGATGAAAAACATGATTTCATGGCTGAAGAAAAGGCTTTTAGTTGCTCTGAGACTAAAAAGACTTTGTCCAGAAAAAAAGCTAAAAAGACAGCGACTAAAGGTAATTTCACTTGCCAACAGTGTGGAAAGATTTTCAAAAAAAATAGAAACCTTACAGTCCACATGAGAGTTCACACTGGAGAGAAGCCTTACACATGCCAGCAGTGTGGAAAGAGTTTCAGTCAAAAAGTAAGTCTGAAAGCCCACATGAGAGTTCACACTGGAGAGAACCCTTTCACCTGCCAACAGTGTGGAAAAAGTTTCAATAGAAAAGGAAACCTAACAGTCCACATGAGAATTCACACTAGAGAGAGCCCATTCTCCTGCCAACAGTGTGGAAAAAGCTTCACTCAGAAAGGAAGCCTTAAAGTCCACATGAGAATTCACACTGGCGAAAACCCTTTCACCTGCCAGGAGTGTGGAAAAGGTTTCATTCGAAAAGCAAGTCTTAAAAGCCACATGAGAGTTCACACTGGAGAGAAGCCTTTCACGTGCCCTCAATGTGGAACGAGTTTTAAACATAAAGGAACCCTTAATGCCCACATGAGAATTCACACTGGAGAGAAGCCGTTCGTATGCGGTCAGTGTGGAAAGAGTTTCAGATTTACGGTAACTCTTAGTCACCACATGCGGATTCACTTAAGAGAGAACCGTTTTATATGTCATCAGTGTGGAAGGAATTTCACATACAGAAATCATCTCAAGAATCATGTAAAGATCCATTTGGTAGAAAAGCCTTTCATGTGCCATCACTGTGGAAAGACTTGCAAAAACAAAACAAACCTTGAGGTTCACATAAGAGTTCACACTGGAGAGAAGCCTTTCACCTGCCCTCGGTGTGGAAAGCATTTTGCACTCAAAGGAAACCTTGAGGTTCACATGAGGCTTCACACTGGAGAGAAGCCTTACAAGTGTCTTAAATGTAAGAAGAATTTCACATATCATAGAGAACTGAAATGTCATTTGCAAACTCATTCTGAAAAGAAACCACAACATTCGGAGTGCGACAAGAAGTTTACTAAGAGGAGTCATTTAAAAAATCATCTGTGCGTTCACTCTGGAGGAAGGCGATTTAATTGTGATAAGTGTAATAAAAAATTTCTTTTACCATCACACTTACAGATACACCTGAAGAGTCATGCAGATGTGAGGCCCTATTCTTGTTCTTTATGTAGAAAGAGTTTTAAATGGCTCAGCAGTTTAAAATGGCACCAGGAAACATGTATGTCTGTGAAATCAAAGCTACTTTCACACTGCAAATGAATGTGGGCCAAACAGATATTCTTCTCTCTATTATTATTCTTTTTTGGTCCCACTTTATATTAAGTGGCCCCAATACCTGTGTTCTTACATAGTAACTAGATGTATACGTAGTATGTAACCACAGAGAAAGTACACATTGGTACATAGTATCAAGAGCTGTAATATTTCTGTAACTACACACATGTAACAACCCTCCGAATGGTTTGTGTAAGTACAAATGTGTAACAGGACATATATAACTACATTTTGTAACAACAATATGTATAAGAGTAATTGGAACCATTTGATCCAGGGGGTGGAGATGGATGTTCCCTGGGAATCGAACCCACAACCTTTTGCGTTGCTAATGCAATGCTCTACCACTGAGCCACAGGAACATATGTGTTAATTAGTACTATCTTAAGCACTACCCCTTAAAATGTATATAAAAATATAATGTACAGATCCCAGTCAGTCTTGATGACTGCAGAGACCAACAGCACATTCTTAATAAAGAATCATTCTAAAGATACAGTTTCCTGGTCTTTGCTTCTGAGTTTCCAACAGTAATGGCCATATCATATACAGTTGCAATCAAAATTATTCAACCCCCTTGATCTGCAAGACATTTTGCTGCAGAGAATGAAATTTTATGAAAACAATTCAACAAAAGCATCAGTGTACTATTAGAGAAAGTTTCTTAATACACATTTGAATGATTCTGAGAATGTAACATTGAATCATGATAAAAATCAAATTGGCTCTAAACATTCATGTTCAAAATTATTCAACCCCTAAAAGTCAAATTTTATTCTTTAAAACCACCAATAAATGCAGTCTTGGCCCATTCCTCGCCGGAAAAAGCTTTCAGATCACTGATCAGTTTTAGTTTGCATATTACCACTGCTTTTTACAAATTCAACCAAATATTTTCAATGAGAGTTAAAATCTGGAGACTGAACAGGCCACTCAAGTACATCCTATAACTTATCCCTGAACCAAGCAGAAATAGATTTGGATGTATACTTTGGGATGGCTGTCCTGCAGGAAAGTCCATTAATAATAATAATAATAATAATACATTTTATTTATAAAGCACTTTACATTTGAAAGAAAATCTCAAAGTGCTACAAAAAGAGCCATAATAATATAAAAATATAATTAAAACCAGCTGCCAACTGAGATGAACACAAAAGTTTAAACATTAAACATTAAAAGACTTTTTAAAACCATCAGTTGAGTGTGGAGCCCTCAGATGTTCAGGGAGGACATTCCACGGGCGAGGGGCGGCGGTGCAAAAGGCTCGATCCCCAGTGGTGCGAGTCTTAGTCGTAGGGGCGAGAAGACGAGAAGTGTTTGTGGAACGGAGGGAACGTGCTGAAATCTGTGAGGTGAGGAGTTCTTTAAGGTAAATGGGAGCATTGCCATGGATGCACTGATGTGTGAGGAGGGAGACTTTGTATTCAATGCAGGCGGAAATGGGAAGCCAGTGTAATGATTGAAGAATTGGTGTGATGTGTTCGTATTTACGCACTCTCCTCAGGATCCTGGCGGCATTATTTTGTATGTGCTGGAGTTTCAGGATGCTCTTGCTAGGGATCCCGATGAGAAGAGAGTTGCAGTAGTCCAGTCTGGAGGAGACAAAGGCGTGGACGAGTTTCTCACGCACTCTCCTCAGGATCCTGGCGGCATTATTTTGTATGTGCTGGAGTTTCAGGATGCTCTTGCTAGGGATCCCGAGGAGAGAAGAGAGTTGCAGTAGTCCAGTCTGGAGGAGACAAAGGCGTGGACGAGTTTCTCAGCATCATGTAAGGTGAGTGTAGGACGAAGTCTGGCTATATTCCTGAGGTGATGAAATGATGTTTTGCAAAGACGTTTAATGTGAGCCTCAAAGGTTAAATGAGGGTCAAACCTAACGCCGAGATTGGTGACTAATGGTGATAAGGGAATGTCCTGGCCAGAAAATGTAATGCAAGTTATGGCAGATGTTCTGATCTGATGAGGGGAACCAATGAGGATGGCTTCTGTTTTTGAGCTGTTCAGCTGGAGAAAGTTATGATTCATCCACGCCCTTATCTCCTCCAGACAGGCAGTGAGTGTAGATAAAGTTGCTGATGATGATGATGATGATGAGTGAGTATCAGCTTTCATATATAGTTGTGTATCATCAGCGTAACAATGGAAGGAAATTCCCAAACGACTGATGACTTTGCCAAGGGAGAGCATGTAGAGAATGAAAAAATAGGTCCGAGAACTGATCCTTGTGGAACCCCGCATCCAACAGCATGTGAACGGGACCTTGAGCTTCCCATGGCCACAAACTCAGATCTGTCCGTGAGCCACAAACTCAAATCTGTCCGTGTGGTATGACTCAAACCAGCACAGGACGTTGTTATTAAGTCCAATGGAGTGATGTAGCCGGTTGAGAAGTATCCCGTGATCAACCGTGTCGAACGCTGCAGAAAGATCCAGGAGGACAAGAAGTGATGGTGAACCAGCATCAGCTGTCATCAGCAGATCATTTGTGACTCTCACTAAGGCTGTTTCTGTGCTGTGAGCAGAACGGAAACCAGACTGAAACTTTTCAAAAATGTTATTGTATTTGAGGTGATCCTGAAGGTGGCTGGCAACTACTTTCTCCAGAACCTTAGCGAGAAATGGCAGGTTGGATATGGGCCTATAGTTAGCAAGGATTTGAGGATCAAGTGTGGGTATCTTAAGTAGTGGTCTGATTATGGCCGTTTTTAAGGCAGACGGTACATGGGTAGCCTGAAGGGATTGGTTTATTATCATGGTGATAAGGGGACTGATGGTAGAAATATTTGCTTTCACCAGAGGTGAAGCAAAGGGGTCGAGGGCACAGGTGGAGGATCTCATGCCCCTGATGGTGTCTTCGACCTCGTGTTGAGTGACTTCTGGGAAGCAGCAGAGCAGCCTCGAAATACCAGACTGCGGGTCAGCAGTTGGGGCAGACGAGGAGGAGGGAACATGAAAAGAGGAGCGAATTTTGTCAATTTTGGTTTTAAAAAATCATTGCATTGTCCTTCTGTAGCTCCTGTGAGTGGAGCAATTTGAGGTTTAAGGAGATGATTTATGGTGGAAAACAACTGTTTGGAATTGCCAGAACTATTTTGAATAATATTTGAATAATACTGTGACCTTGCTTCTTTGATTGACTTCAGATAAGCTTTTTGGTGGTCCTGATAGGCTAGCTTGTGAACAGTAAGTCCGGAAGCATTATACCCGCTCAAGGACACGTCCAGCTGCCTTCATTTTCCACAGGTCACTTGTGAACCAGGGAGATGAGTGGGAAAACATAATTGTCCTAACTTTGATAGGTGCATGAAGATCCAAAATGCTGCTCAGTGTCTTATTATAAGATTCCACAGATTCAGTGACTGATGAGTAGGGTTGGGAACCGATAACCGGTTCTTATTCAGAACCGGAACCGTGCGCAATTTCTAAGTTTCGGTTCCGAAAACGGTTCTAATGCGACACGTGACCAAGCGCTGTGAGCAGCCTTGCGCCGGCGTTTCCCGTAAAGGATGTCACAAACCAAATAACAGAAACGCCGCCCTGCCTCTTTAATTACTGAGCACATCGTTTCCCATGACGCGCACTCCACAGACGCGCCGCGTCTTTATCTGCCGAACACATCGTTTTCCACTCGCGTCTTTGATAAATGTGCACGTTGTTTTGTCAGACTGTACATGTACCGGCAGCACGCAGCTCCTGCCGCCACTAAATTACATTATATTTGTCCCACATTGTCATTAATATATGGAGGCAAGTGAGCCTGCAGATAAAAATCCTGGTAATGGTGAATGCATTTAATTAAAGCGAACTAGTGTTAAGACTGATGAGGCTCAGTCTTCGGTCACAGAGGTTACAAATTTGCCATCTTTCCATGAATTATATTAATTATATTAGGGATCGTTAAGAAAATACATCTTTTATATTTATTCAGAGGGGGTGTACTCATTTATGCTGTGCACTATAACTAGCCCATTGCGTTAAATATTGTTGGCACATTATACTGAAAAAAATAACTGCTTGCGCTAATGTGCTAATTTTGACAGCACTAATTATGTATATATATATATGTGTGTGTGTGTGTGTGTGTGTGTGTGTGAACGAACCTGTGATGTTTTTATCAGGATTCTTTGATGAATAAAAAGGTACAAAGGACAGCATTTATTCAAAATAGAAGTCTTTTCAAAATAGAAATATTTTTTTATATATCTTGTATAAGTCTCTGTGACTATATTTCAACAAGAATGAAACTGAACTAAACGATCTCTGACATTTATATTTTATTTGTTTATTTGTTTGTAAATCTATAAGCACTTTTGCGAGTTTAGCGTGTGAACAGGACTTTTAATTTGGTTTGTGTGTGTGTGTGTGTGTGTGTGTGTGTGTGTGAACGAACCTGTGATATTTTTATCAGGATTCTTTGATGAATAAAAAGGTACAAAGGACAGCATTTATTCAAAATAGCAGTCTTTTCAAAATAGAAATATTTTTTTATATATCTTGTATAAGTCTCTGTGACTATATTTCAACAAGAATGAAACTGAACTGAACGATCTCTGACATTTATATTTTATTTGTTTATTTGTTTGTAAATCTATAAGCACTTTTGCGAGTTTAGCGTGTGAACAGGACTTTTAATTTGGTTTGGCGATATGACGTCATAAGGCTGCGCACGCAGCGTGCTGCGTCTGTGATTGGACTGAAGAAAGGTTTGTTTTTAAGCATATAAAGCATTTAAAGTGTTTAAATTAATTTAAACCGTTCAAGAGTTGTAACATTGCTAAAGAAAACTAGTTATCAATTATTGAATGTTTGCATGTAACATCGTAATGATGTATTTAACGTTTATGGCGGTATTTTTGAGAGTAAAGCGCACCCGCACATGAGTAGCTGCGTCTCATTTCGTTCCCTATATCGTGAATGAGTTTATCGTAAACACGAACTCGGGCACTGGCAAGTATTGATGAGAGAAACGTTAACTCTTTTCTCTGT